CTGCTGGCTGTGGGCTTTGCTGTCTGATGTTGGCCGTTTGCTGTCGTGCCCGCTCCCACACTCCCCAGGGCAGCTTCCGGCTTTGGGCCCAGTCCTGTGGACAAGCCCTCCTGCGTGCAGTCCATGTGGATGTGCAGGAGCCATGGGTGGCCGGGCGGCAGGGTCTCACTATGGCCAAGCCCGTCTTGGCCCAGGCCGGCCCCAGGCGACCAGAGCCCTGGGGTATGCGGAGGTCCCGGGTCCCTGCCACCTCCCACACGCTTCGACCGTAGGTCATGTATGGAGGACGTGCCATCGACAGCTTTGACCGCCGTGTCCTGACCACCTACATGGACGAGTACCTGGGAGACTTCCTCTTCGATGCCTTCCAGCCGTTCCACTTCTTCCAGAGCAAGGGGGTGGACTACAGACTCCCCACCGGGGACGCAAAGGGCAAGTTCGTCGGTGAGAACAGGAGCCCAGGCGTCTCAGCACGCTTCCTGCGGTGTTGGGCAGAGCGGGGTGGGGGCCCTGGCCTGTTCTCAGCCTCGGGGCTGCTCATTATTTCCTGTTCCTGTCTGGGAAGGATGGTCAGTGTGTCAGGTCCCGCCTGGAAGGGCAGAGCGGTGGCCACTCAGCGGCGGAAATCGGTCCTTGGGGGAAATTGGGCCTCAGGAGCTGAGGGCAGCTGGTGCTACAACCTGCTGTCCCCTGTGGCTCCAGAAGCCATCGAGGCCCTCCCGCTGGCCAACACACCTGAGGTGTTCGGCCTCCACTCCAACGCTGAGATCGGATACTACACGCAGGCAGCCCGGGCCATGTGGGGCCACCTGCTGGAGCTGCAGCCGCAGACCGGTGAGCTGTGTGGGGGAGGTTGAGAGCCTGGCGGGGCAGGGGCAGCCCAGGTGCTGCAGGTTGGGTCTGGGAGCTGCCCGCCTGCCCGGTAACAGGCTTCTCGGAATGCCCCACCCTCCGCCCCAAGCCTCGCTTCTCCATGTGTTCTGGTTTTAGGGGAATCCAGCAGTGGCATCGGCCGGGATGATTACATCAGCCAAGTGGCCAAGGACATAGAAAACAAGATGCCCAAGGTCTTTGACTTGGACCAGGTCCGGAAGCACCTGGGCACGGGCCTCTCGCCCACCTCGGTTGTGCTGCTGCAGGAGCTGGGGCGCTTCAACAAGCTCTCGGTGTGCATGAGCAAGTCCCTGGCCGAGCTGCAGAGGGTGAGCACGGTCCCGGGTGTAGAGCTGTCTGCGTGCAGAGCCTGGGGCTCCCGTGCGGGCGGCCTGATGGCTCTCGTCCTGCGGATAGGCCTTGGCGGGGGAAGTCGGCATGAGCAGCGAGCTGGATGACGTAGCCAGGTCTCTCTTCCTCGGGCTGATCCCTAACATCTGGAGAAAGCTGGCCCCGGACACCTTGAAGTCCCTGGGAACCTGGATGATCTACTTCCTGCGGCGGTTCAGCCAGTACACGCTGTGGGTGAGTGGCAGGGCCGTGGGGGACCTGGGAAAGCTCACAGGGGTTCTAGAAACATCCACGGATTCCAGAAGCGGGTCTGTCTTTTCCCACTTGCTCTTTGTCTGGACCTGGCAGCACACTGCCGTACACTCCTGCTGTAGGAGCGGATCTCTGTGGAGCTGGCACGCCCTTCCTAGAGGAGTCTGTCTTCCAACAGTCCCCTCCCTGTCTCCAGCGCTGGACACTCAGGCGGTTGCTGTCCGCATTCTGTGCACACATCTGTGAATATGCACGAGTGTGTCTTGTGGGTGAAATCCAATGATGGGAGTCCAGGGATGCTTCCAAAGTTTCATAGTCTCATCCCAGGAAACCAGGAAACCCGCCTCTCGGCAAATGTGTGTTCTACATATTTTAGATCTTTATTCTCTGATAGGTGAAAAACACTGTTTTGTGTTGTATTTTTTTCAACTATGATGAAGCTTAGTTTATTTGTCGCGCAAATAGACATCTCTTGTTCCTTTTTTCTGAAACGTCTGTTTGTAACTTGGTTTCATTTTTTTTTTTTTTTTTTACCGGGGATCGAACTCGAGTCCTTGTACTTGTGAGGCAGGCGCGGGAACCACTGAGCTAAATCCCCGGCCCTCGGTTTCATTTTTTTTGAGGATGCCATCTTTCTCATTGATTTTTTTTAAAGAGCTTTTTGTGTTACAAACATTATCCCTGTGGCTGCGGCGTTGCATACAGTGGTCCCTCAGTTCACGAACTTAATTCTTGCCATGATTTTGGGCGCAAGCCAAATTGGATGAGAACCAAATCAAATTTCCCCCAAATTGAACTTGACCATTGAATTTGATTTGGTTCATGGCCAATTCTATTTGTGACCAGAATCATGGAAAGATTTAAGTTCATGAATTGAGGCACCACTGCATTTCTCCTGGCTTGTCCTAAGTCTTTTGCCCTTTCGTATGCTGTTTTTATCCATGGAAAAGTCCTGCGGCTTTTATGTAATCAAATGCGTCAGGCTTCTCGTTTATGGCTCCCGGGCCTGTCCTCCCCACCTGAAGGTGAGGAAACTGCCGACTGGAGATCTGCTTGGCACTCCGGCGGTGCTTCTGTGGTTTAAACCGTTGCTCTGCCTGGACTTGGGGTCCAGCTTGCTCCCCCATGGCTGGTGCTGTGCCGGAGTGGTCCTTTTGTCCCCAAGGTGAAATCCGTCCTTCAGCATGAACTGTCTTCTGTGCAGGTCACGGAGGGCGAGCCCAGTGTCATGTGGCTCTCGGGGCTGCACATCCCAGAATCCTACCTCACCGCGCTGGTGCAGGCCACCTGCCGGAAGAATGGCTGGCCGCTGGACCGGTCCACGTTGTTCACGAAGGTGACCAGGTTCCAAGATGCAGCTGAAGTGAGCGAGCGGGCGGGACAAGGTACCATCAGCTCTTCAGGGCTCCTCAGCCTCTCGTTCAGGTCTCTCCCCAAACCATCGCGTCCAAAGGGACAAGTGTAGAGTGGCCAGAGTGGGCCACTTCCTCCCAGGAAGTCAGACCGCGACCAGCACCACTATGTGCGCTGCCCCTTTCCCCGGGGAGACTTGGAGTTGAGGCCAAGGGGACCTGAACCCCGTCGCCCTGCTGGTTTGTGAGACACAGGCCACTAGGGGGTCCCTTAGGTCACTCGGCAGCTAGGGGCATGGACCAGCTTGGTTGGCAACACTCAACTATGTGATGACTTCCGATCCCCAAGACATTGATTACTGGTCTGCAGACAACAGCTGCAGACTGCTGTTCCCTGTGGCCCAGGCCACCTCAGTCAGAGGCCACTTAACTGCAAGAACAAAAGCCCTTTGTGGCAACTTAAGGGGAGGGCGTTTACGGTAAGGGTTTGGGGGTGCTGAGGTGCCAGCTGCAGAAACCCAGTGAGGTCGCGCTGGCTGGTGTCCGGCTGCCTGGCTCTGTGGATAGATATTGTCCTCTCCTCTGGCCGCACACCCGAAGGGCCTCGGATCCTGGAAGGCCTGGACATCCTGCTCCCACTGGCTCTGGCTCTAGAGGAGCCGGGGTTGCTTGTGCCTGCTCCGACCCTAGTGCTCAGAGCCCGAGCGCCCCGTGCCAGGCTCCTGGGGGAGGAGGCAGCCAGCGCAGGAAGGTGGGGGAGCCAGGTGGGTCCTGAGTCCCAGCACTTGCTCTGTGCACCCATCTGCTCCCCTACGTCTGCCCGGCCTCTCCATGTCTCCAGGGTGCTTTGTCTCGGGACTCTACCTGGAAGGTGCTGACTGGGACATAGAGCGAGGCTGCCTGGTCAAGAGCCAGCCCAAGGTGCTGGTGGTGGACCTGCCCATCCTGAAGATCATCCCCATCGAAGCTCACCGCCTGAAGCTGCAGGTGAGGGCACTGTTGCCTCTGTCCCCACCCCAGGGGCTGATGAGGTGCCTTCTGGATCGAGGAGCTCAGCCTTGGAGCCACTGCCCAGGAGGAGCGGTGTGCTGCACCCTCGTGTCAGACTGCAGTTGAGGTCCTGTGGTGAGGGCTGCCTGAGGGGACTCGGGCTCCCTGCTTGGGAAACCTGAGGACCTTGGCTGAGTCAGAAAGTGGCCACCATGGTGTGAGTGGCAGTGCCCTCTGTGGGGCCTCGGCTGGGACCCACCTTTGCCAGGGGCGCATCCGTGAGGCCTGGCCTCCCTTAGGCTGGCGGGTGCCCAGCACAGCCCCACCCCCATCAGGAGCTTCCTGCTCCTGCGTGGGGCTCGGTCACCTGCCTTTCCCTTGCAGAACACCTTCCGGACGCCTGTCTATACCACCTCCATGAGGAGGAACGCCATGGGCGTCGGCTTGGTATTTGAGGCTGATCTCTTCACCACAAAGCACATTTCTCACTGGGTGCTCCAGGGCGTGTGCCTCACCCTGAATTCTGACTGACTGGATGGCTATGAGGAAGAAGGGCCCATCCACTGTCTCCTGGGCTGCGGGAGAAGGGGAAGGGCCTCCACCTCCCTTTCCCTGGAAGTCTGCGGTTCAGATCCCTTTGCATTAAATTAATCCGAATGGTTTCTGAAACTACTTCTTAAAAAGTAAACAGTAGAATTGATGTGAAGATGTGCTGTGCACTCCTCTGAGTGCCCTGGCACGGCTGCCTCAGGCAAGCAGCCTGGGCACCCGAGCTGGGTCTGTCCCTGCAGGAGCCCTTGGCAGCAGGGGCGGGGGTGGCAGAGCCCCTCTCCGGGGAGCAGCAGGCTGGGCTGACGATGCCCAGGGCACCGGGCGGAGGTGGCCGGAGGGCCCCACCTGCCTCTTCCACCTGGAACCTGGCCTGTCCTTTGTCCTTTGGCTGCCGAGCCCAGCACGGGACGGTCGGAGCTCCTTGCCCAGCGGCCCGGGTCCTGTGCAGGCCTGGGCACAGGCTCGGCAACTCCGGGCCAGAGGCATGGGGGCTGCGCCCCGGGGACAACAGGCCAAAGGCCCTTCTGCCCGAGCCCGGGAGGAGCTGGGGCTGCCGCTCCTCTCCCTCCCTCCCTCTCTCCCTCCCTCCCTCGGAGTTAATGAAAGACACGAAGGAGAAGGAAGGCAGGGTTAGAAAATAAAAGTTTGTTGGGATCTTGAACATTTTGGATGAAACTAACAAAACCCTCGGAGACACGTTCAGGCTGGGGTGCTGAGGAGAAGCGCACCTCACTGAGGTCCCGAGACACAGGTGGCGCCGCCCTGGGAGGGCTCGGGAGGCGCGGGGTGCTCCGTGCAGGCTGCCCTGTGAACGGGGGCGGGGAGCCAGGGAACTGCTGCCCTGCTCCTCGTGGGCTGGGCTCTCTGCTGTGGGGAACTTCGCGCGCTGAGCTCGCACAGGCGGGACTGGAAGCAGGCGGTCGCGGTCGGCGCGGGCTTGGCCGGTGTCACAAACACGTGTTGCGCGGCGCGGCGGGTGCTCGTGTCTTGGTGTGGGCAGGAAGAGCAGGTCCGAGAACAACGTGGCATGCACGGGCATGAGGCCGGGCGAGTGCCCGCGGGTCACACAGTTCTGTCCGTCCCTGGGTGCTTCCGCACTCCCCGGGCCCCGTTCACCTGGTCCACCACCAGCGTCTCCACCTCGAGCTGCGCCTGCGGCGGGCTGGCGTGGCGGGTGCGGTGGGCCAAGCCTACGTGCGCCTTCTGTGGCTTCTCGCCGGCGCCGGCGCCGCGGTCCGAGGCGATGGGCGGGATGACGAGCGGCCGCTCCTTGACGAGCTGGACCTCTGCCGACTCGCGGGCCAGCAGGAACGGCGTGGGGTCGGGCATGGCATCCACCGGCTCGCGCAGCAGCAGCTTGCGGCTCTCGGCCCCGAGTCTGAAGACCTCCTCGAGCTCGGGGTGCAGCGGGGCCGACAGGCTCTTCTTCATGCGGCGGCGCGGCGTCTCGGGCAGCTTGTCCCTGGGCGGAGCCGGCTTGTAGCTGGCCAGCGCGGGGCTGCCGGCCGGGCTGGCGTCCGAGGCGCCGCCGGAGCTCAGCAGCTTCTTCTTGGCGGCGTGCAGCTGCGAGGCGAGGTAGGCCACGGTGCTGGCGCGCTGCTCCAGCTCGGCCGACAGCAGGCTCAGCTTGTGGGTCTTCAGCTTGAGCTCCTCCAGGTACTTCTTCTCCCGCTCCCTGACGGTGTTCTCCAGCACGGCGACCATGGCATTCTTCTGCTCCAGCCTGCGCAGCAGCTCGCTGTTCTCCCCCTCCTTGGCCTGCAGCTGGGCCTCCAGCTCCGAGCAGCGCCTCTTGAGCTCTGCACTTCTGGAGGCCCCATCTCCTGCAGGGGCGAGTGGGCCGGGCGAGGGGTGAGGGGTGGCGGCAGTGGGGCTCACAGCCGGCCGCCCTAGAAGGGTGTGGCCACACCGACCTCCACGGGCCTTCCGGGGCTGGGCCAAAACCAAAACCCAAAAGTATCTCAGAACCCCAACAGACTCTGAAAGGGGTAAAGACAGGGACAGAGGCACAAACACGTGGTTCTGAGGCCACCTCCAAGCCCGGTTAGGAAGAGGCAGACTAACGCTCGCTCGTCGGAGTCCCGCCTGCGCAGGGAGCGGCACCCGTGACGGGCAGGTGGGCGGCCCTGTCTCCTCTGCTGATGCCCTGGGGCCCACACCCTTAGGGCTCCCCGAGAGCCCTCTCTGCTCTGGGGCTCCTTGTTCTGGGTAAGAAGGGTTTCTTTCTTCACTGCAGAGGGATGCGTATTAATTGTAGGAAAACCTGAGACTCCCGGCGAGCTTGGGATAGCCCCCTAAGACGTGCCGACGTGAGGGAAGCAGTCCCTCATCCCCGGGTGTCATGGATCCCCGCAGGCCCCGCTTCCCTCTTGTCCTCTCCGAGAGAGCCCCAGCCAACCGGGATTGCTTCCAGGAGCGCAGCCAGGGCCAAGGACAGCACCTGCCATGCCTCTCAAGAGAAAGCCATTTCTTTCCCCCTCAGCTCTGGGGAGAAATTCTTACCTGGCTGTTCCGAACTCTTGAGTATCAGCTCATATGTTAAATCTAAAAAGAAAGTTCACACATTAATGCCATCACAGTGTCCTTCAAAACCTTCCTCAGCTCTGAGCGCGCAGGGCCGGCAGAGCACGCCAGTGAGGACACAGCGGACAGGGGCTTGGGAGGCCCCTTCCCCAGCCCACACAGCCCGACCTTGCGGGCATCTGAGCACTCGCTCCTCGGTCCACAGGCTGCATCCAAACTGCACTCGGCTTCAGTCTTTACGTCCCAGCACCTCGAGCAAAGGCTTTGCAGCTTTTCACTCAGTGCGTTCTGTTCAGCGGTGCGGGTGAGGGGCTGGCCGGGCCCAGGAGAGGATGGGGTGGCACAGGTGGCGGTGTGGGGAGCAGGCCTGGCTCCTAGCTTGTCTCGCTTTGTTTGTGGTCCTGGGGATTGGACTCAAGGCCCTGCACTGTGCTACATCCCCAGCCTTGTTAAAATTTTGAGAACAGGACCTTGCTAAGTTGCTAAATTGCCTAGGCTGGGCTGGAACTTTCAATCTTCCTGCCTCAGCCTCTCCAAATGCTGGGATCACAGGCGTGCACCACCATGGCCGGCTGGCTCTGCGGCTGACCCCACTTGGCCACTGTCCCCGCACCTGCGCAGTGCTGCTGCAGCCGCCGGATCTCAGCATGCAGCCCCTTGAGCGTGCTGGCGTGCTCCCGCTGCAGAAACAGGAGGCTCTTCTGTGCGCTGAGCAGCTGGTTCTCCAGGGTTGTGGTTGCCATGCTGACATCCAGGTGACCTGCAGGAGGCACAAACCCGGTCACTGTCCCTGGTCATGAGGGCAGGAGGCAGGGCTTGGGGTGTGCGGAGGACGGATGGAGCTGATGGAGGAGCTGGAGGGGAGGCCTGGGGGCTCTGGCTCCTTTCCATGGCCCCAGCAAAGCTGAGCCCAGGCCTGAAGCACCTTCGTGCCCCAGGCCTCAGCACTCACCAGCACCAGCCCTGGCACACCTGCCAGGTGCAGCCAGTACTGGGGCCAGGGGGGGAAGTTACCGGACGCAGATAACAGCGATCTGTGCAGAGTGGAGATTCAAACCCAGGACCCGATTCCAAGTCCACACGCCACCTAACTCAGCAGGGTGCTGCATCCCAAAGTCCCCTGAGAGTCCCCAGACAAGGAAGCACCCACTAAGGGCATGCAGAGAATCTCGTGCCCGGGCCAGGCTGCACGGCTCGGCACCTCTGGTGGCACCTGGCTGGTCAGATCCAGGAGGAGGAGGAGGAGGAGGAGGAGGAGCTGCAGGACACTGCGAGGGCCCAGGTCTCTCCTGGGCGTGTCTTAGGCGTGTCCCAGTAGCTGTGGAGTGACAGCCGGCTTGGACCTAGGGCTGGCCCTGATCAAGCGCCATCCCCACTCCAGCCCCAGTGCTGCCTGCGTGTCACCTGGTCCTGCCCATTGCTGGTGCCAGGCCTGGCACAGGACATCTTGGTGGCTCTTTGAAACCAGTTTTCAAATCCATTCATTCTGGCCTGTCCCACCTGTGCCAGCCTCCCCACACCTGACCACGGCAGAGAAGCTTGCCTCCTCCTCTCTCGCCTCCTGCCTCCACTCCCCACATGGGAGCCAGTGGGACTCAGATGCTGCCCACACTGTACACCCAGATCTGCACTCTTCGGCTGCAGAAGGCAGGTGAACACAGTGCATCTTGGCCCCAGAGGGAAGGGCTGCGCTCCCCAGTCAAGCATGAGGCCCTGAAATAGCACTGCCGCAGGGAAGCGGGACCCCAAAACAGGAAACGAGATGACACAGAGGCCTGCAGCCACCCGGCCTTCAGTCCCCGCAGACTTCCGGGAGGCTGGGTGCTGGTGGGGCTGTGGGCCAAGGCCAGCCTGAGGAGGAGGAGTGAGTCCCAGTCGGCACATGTGTCCTCGCCCCAACCCCTGCAGGTGGCGGTCCAGGGCCAGGGCACCCCCCGCCCCCAGGCTGAGTCAGGGTTAGGCAGTGCTGGGTGGAAGCAGGGCTAGGCTGGGCCACCAGCTGCCAGACACTGTGCTAGTGTTCCAGTATGAGGAACCAAGGTGGCTCATCTTCCCGCTTTTCAGAACACGCCTTTCCTTCAGCCTCCCGTGTGCACACTCCCACCTCACACCCGTCCACATGAGAACACTTTTGCGCAATGCATCCCTCACCTGAGTGCCCAGGCCCACACCCTGTGGGCCCTGCCTGGCCTCACCCCAGGGCTGCTTTGTGGGCTCTGCACTCCTAGCACGGCTGTCCGAGCCCTGGCATCTCCACACCCCTCCAGCACAGGCCCTTGGTCCCTCTGCGGCTGCTCTTGGCAGGCACACCCCGCCGCCCTCTGCCGATGAACTTCCCCGATGAACTTCCATTCTTCCCTCACATCTCAGCTGGTGCATTACGTATGTGCTTCAGATAATTTTATCCTTCTTCATAATGGTACTGAGTGGAGAGCTCAGCCAGAATTACACTGCATTAATCAAAAGCACTGCAACAGCATTGATTCGGACATGACCTCATCCCATAATTTCTCAACAAGCCATCGTGGCATTTGAAAGCACCTACACTTCTCAGACTGAAAGAGAAGGAATGTTTTCAGTGGGAACGTGTCCTGGCCCTTAGCAATGGAGCTTCCTCCGTTTCTGGACTACCCAAAGCAGAGCCACGTTTTAGGTGAACACAAAGCTGGTGTGGAAATAGGGTAATAATTTTAGACTCTGAAGGCAGCACGCCAGCACTCAGGTGGTGCCGTGGATGAGTTACAGCGAGCTATTTTAGCCTGTAGTTGTGAATAAATCAGAACCCATTTGCTTCGGTTCTCTCTCCCTGGCAGGGAGCTGGAGTCTGCTTTCTGCAGACCTGGTCCCACTCCCCCAGGGTCCCTGGCCTTCACAGCCCGAGGCATCTCAGCACTGGGGCTTGGGAACCTCTTCGGGCTCTGCGGAACTTTCTGTACTGCTCCGGTGTCCTACAGCTTGGGTGCTGCCATCAAGAAAAGGGAGGATGGCCCGGGACAGGGGTGGCGATTGTGGGGTGAAATGTAGGAGGAGGAGGAGGAGGAGGAGGAGAATGACAACGATGAGTCTGAGCTGGGAGCTGGGAGCTGGTTTCCCAAGTGAACGATCGCTCGCGAGGAACTGGAGAACACAGAGGGTGGAAGGAAGCTGCGCATAGGCTCCCAGCGACCTGTGTCGGGACTAAGAGGGCAAGGTCCAGCCGGGTGGAGTGGTGCACACTCACTCGCAATCCAGCACTCAGCACGGTGAGGCGGGACGATGGCAGGTTTGAGGCCGGTGTGGGTGACCGACCGCTGAGAACCCTGTCCCAAAGGATCAAAGGAGGAAGAAAAGAGAAGAAAGGAGGATCAACAGAGGCCTAATGGTCTGTTTAACACAATGGAACAAAAGAAGACAGAGTGGACAAACTTGCGAGACGGTGGCCTGTGCTCGGGTGAGGCTGAAACTCACTTAGGCTGAACCTCAATCATGTTGATGGCCACGTCACAGGGCTGCTTGATGTACTGGGTATCCCGGCCTGGTGCCCGGCACAGAGTAAGGACTTCATGTGTATTAGTTTATTACTTCCTACAGCTCTTGCTCAGCACTTCGATAAATACACTTCCTGGTGTTCACTCGGTCCTACCAGTTATTTCTTGAGCATCATCTATGTGTGGGAATGAGCTAGCAAAGAGATTCCAGATACCTCCAAGAGGGAAATATAAAAGCCACAGAAGCACCTTCTGGCTGACGGTAGCCTGGGTTTTCAGGAGACATTCAGGGAAGTGAACAGAGAAGCCAGGCAGGGCAAGGTAAAACCTACTTCTTCCTTGGAAACATCGAGGGGACTCCAGGAGGGGCTAGAAATGGCCCACAGCTAATTAGGCCATCGGCTTTGAATCCTGAACACCTCCTTGTAGAAAGGATCCTTGCCGTGTCTGAAAATGACACTGATGTTATTCTAACTTCTAATATCCTGGATAAATACACTGTTTTAAATCATAGGTCACTCCTGTTCCTACTTGTGCACGTATTTTAGAAATTTAACTAGTAAGTGATTTGAAAATCTCACAAAGTTAGGGCTATAACTTTTCAAGGATGGGTAAACATTCTACAATGACTCCAGAAATATTTTGGTAAAAAAAGTGAACATCATTTTAATGTGGAAGCAAAAAGTGTTGAAAGCAAAAGGTGCAACTGTTTTTCAAAGAGGCAAAAAAAAAAAAAAGGTCCCATTTAGTAATCATCTTTGGCCCTGGGAATCGGTGTGTGCGTGCACCAGCGTTCTACCACCTTCTGGCTCGGCAGGTTCTCGGGGCGGGAGTCGGCCTTGCCTTTCTCTCCGGAACACCCAGCAGGGTGCCCAGCTTCCTGGGGCACAGCGGCAAAGGACCCGAGTGGGGACTCACCCAAAGGCGGCAGCTTGGTGTGGAGAGGTTCCGGGGGGGCCCCTCTTCTCTGGCCAGGAGGCGGCATCTTATAACCGGTCTGTCTCTAAAAGCGAACGGAGGGAAGCTCCAGGAGAAACAGGCAACACTCACACAAATCTTACAGTTTTACAAGACACTCACCACCCTAAGCGGTCTGACTACCCGTCCGGAAGAGGTTAGTTCAGCAGGGCACAGCTAAACCGTGCAATATTGCAATCAAATTGTTTTTGTTTTTTGGTACCAGGGATCGAACTTGGGTCCTTGTGCTTGCGCAGCAGGCAGTGAAACCACGGAGCTAAATCCCAGGCCCTAAACTGCGCAATATTAACAATAACAGAGAACTGTCTATCCATCGGGAACTACGTCTATGACAGGCGAAGTTTAAAAGTGTGTTAAAAGCTGTGTATATAACATCACACACACATATGTAAGTACACACACGCACACGGACAAAATCTAGCAAATATACACCGACATGCAAAAAGCATTTCTCTCTGTATAGTGGACTAATGAATGACTTTTATTTCTTATACCTTCTATGTATTTTGGTCATCCCTAAAGCGTCTTTTTTTTTTTTTTTTTGGTATCAGGGATTGAACCCGGGTCCTTGCACTTGCGCAGCCCTAAAGCTTCTTTAATGATGAACATATACTGTACAGTCAGAAGAAATCATGAAGTAGTTTCTCTCCAAAAAGATAATAAATACCCACTAACAAAGTGGTAATGTGTTTTCATACTATATTCCAGGATAATCTTGGATTGCCAGAATTCTGATTAGTTTACCAGAATCAAGAATCAATGAGGAAGCAGTTTTACAGTTGCAGCAATTTGGAGTCCCCAAGCTCCACAGAATGTGCCAGTGACGACCACTGATACCTCCCGTTCCCTGCCTTACAGGTTGTAGTGGTCCTCTGACATTATCCATCACTGAATACAAGGCCCGCCCACATTCCTTCGACACTGATGGCCATTTCCTCCTGAGAACACACAGCCCGACATTAAGGTTGTAACAGATGTGATTAGGGAGATGGTGATGAGACACAGAAACAGGATCTGCCGAAGTCTGGGAAGCCTGCAGCCCCTGGGGCCTGCATGATGGATTTATTAACCTGCGCTCCCATTATCTCATACTCTAAGAGTTTCCATTTGCCTTCCATTTAAAACCACAGAGTCTGCACAGCGATAAGGGCTTGGCCCCTCTGAGGGCGAATGCCCTAGTGCGTGCTGGCCTGAGGCTGCTGAGCTCCCTCCCTCACTGGTGCCTGCAGGGCGTCCTGGGTCTCAGGGAAACAAGTTACCTAAGGCAGGGGCAACAGCACCCCATGCAGACCCCACCTCAGGGGCAGAGCACCCACCCGCACCCCATCTCCTGACCTCAGGGCTGGGCGGGCAGGTGTCTGCTGCCGGGACAGACAGCCCAGCACTGTCCCAGAGACCTCTCCTGGCCAAGAGGCTCCTGGGAGGAGGAGGTGCAGGCCAGGCCCTTCCTGCTCTCCCTGCTTCCTCCTCCTGCCCTCCCTGGGCAGCTCTCTCGAGGAGCACCCGATTAACGTTGTCCCCTAAGCTGCAGCTGACATGTGCACTGGCAGAGATGTCACCCAGAACTCTTGGCCAGGATGACCCTGAAATGATAGTTTAGGAACCTGAATCTCACAAGTCAGCATACAAATAATTCTACGTGACATTTTCCCTAAATGGAAGGGAAAGTAGGCCTTAACGAGGCCTAACAAGGGTTTCCGTCCCTGATCACTGCGGATTTTAGCTGTCTACTGGTTGATAAGTTATAATGACCCCAAATGCCAAACTGTCTCTGACGAACGAGGAACTACTTCTCAGGTCTTAGTGCTTGATCACCGCCTCAAGTGTAGTTCCTAGGCCAAGAAGATGCATCCATTTGCTTTAAAAATCTCTCTATGTGGCTTGCCAAACACACAAACCCTTCATCCGACTTAACCAATGCAGGCATGCCTAATTACAGCATGGGTTTTAAGGACAGGAAAGTATTCATTAACCCAAGCTCTATCATTTCGGTGCACAGAAGTGGATGGCTCTACGCACTAAATGTATACACCATACACTCAGCCATACTTTCTCAGAAAAAGTAAAGCAGTCAGTGGTTTCCTTAGACAGGGAAAGAGGACTTTCTCTTTTTTACCGTTTACCATGTCCGTAAGTCTTCATTTCCTAGGACTTCCTGTGGATGCTTCAGCATGGCCACTTAGGGCCACTTAAGTGACCCTTTGACTTTCCCCCCGGTGATGGCCCCACAGGCCGAAGTCACCGCTTGAGTTTCCTGCCCATGAGCCTGCTGTGCTGTGGGGAGTGACCAAGGCCCACTGGCTGGTGACCTCGCGCACTGACTCTGCGGTGTTCCTTCTGCTCAGTCGCCCTTTGTTCTATCAGGGAGCAAAGAACTCCCGGGCTCGCGCTTAGATTCCAAGTCTGGAGTGTTCTGTGCATGAAGTTCCAGGGGAGAAGAAACACTCCGCCATGTATGTCCATCAGGAAGGGCTGGCACTAACACGCGGGCCACACCGAGACCTGGGTGAGAGGTAGGTGCCAGAACCACACGGGCTGAGGTGCTGGGCAGCTTATCTTAGGGCTGGTCTCTGCTACCAACTTTGGGCCATCTTACTTAAATGAGGCATTGATACACTACCCCAGGAGAAATAAATGAAACTGAGCGAAGAACAAATGAGGCTGGACACTGTAGTCCATCGATTATAGATCAGCACTGGAAGGAGGGGAAGAAACCGGAGAAAGGAAACATTTCCCATACCCCCTGGGACTTGAAAGAATGGGGTGCCTCCCAGCACCTTCTAATCCCTGGGGCTCCCTATTGTGTTAAAGCTCACTGCTTTCCATTCGTGCTTTTGTCACTTTTTCCACTTGTACACAGAACTGCCTTTGGCTCATTTCCCTTTTATTTGACCTCTTGCTTCCACCGTGGGATTGATTACAATCCTTGGTTGTGGAACAACCTTTCAGGGCCCACTTGGACTCAGGCACTTTTACTAATGAGCACCCAATGTACCCACGCTGTGGGAGCTTAGCAATTTGGGGTTAGAGTGTGCAGGTTTTCCATTTGGACTTCAAGATTCTTAGGCTGGGCCACTTCCTGGTTGATCCAATTCTGGGTACGCCGATTAGTCAGTCAGGAGCCTTTGAGTTGGCTTTTCCTCCGGTATTCAGAAGGGGCAGGGTGGTCACCTCAGGTCACACAGGGAAGCCACTTTCTGGGCTGGTTTTCGGAAAACCAGTGCTCAGGAGAAGCAGCGTCCGTCCGGGTGCAGCGGTTGCTATGAGCATGCCCGAGACGCCTGCCTCTTAAGGTAAAGTGCTCACTGCCCTGAAAAGCTGAGATAACCAGTACTTCTACCCTAACACGGCCTCTGGGCCTAGGCCATCTGGACAAGAAATTGTGTAAGGGCAGTGTTTAATCACAAGAAGCTGAAGGTCATGAATTAGCAACAATGGCTACTACTGTGTCAGGCTCCCAGGCTCAGAATCTTAGTTCCTGAAAAAGAACTCCCCACATTTACGGAGTACCTACAAGTAGGAGAGCTAAATGCAAATCTGATTCCCGAGGCCTGCACCTTCTCTGCCTCTCGTTCTCCCGGAGTGGGAGTGCCGTTCTCCAATTCCCAACTTATGGCGGTTGGAACCCTAAGGTCGAGCTGCCTCCCCCGAAACGGCCAGTTCTGGTTGTTTCTGTGCCTTCTGGAACGCAGAGTCCATGCTTGGCCACGGAGCACAGCGGCCATGCTGCTGTCAAGCTGGTCACACTTGTCACCCTCGCCGAGTGCTTTCCGCACCAGCACAGTGCCCAGTGCCGCCCATGCCTGTCTTTTAAGTCTCCAGGCAGCTCTAGAAAGCTGTGCTTTTTATCTCTTTACCGCTGTAGGGGAAACTGAAGCAGAAAGCTTGGATGGTTGCTTTATTGGGAGCACACGAGCCTGGTGTTTTCCTGGAGCTCTGGAGTTCTTCCCTTTGGAAGCGGGGAGAGGTGCTAACACAGGGCTACGTTTTTGGTAGGAATGTAATGAATCTTAAACAGCCGAATCTCAAACATCCAATGACAAACTCTTCCTGTGGGGTGATGTGCCCGTGGGTTCTGGTCTGGCTGAGTGGACCTGCAGGTCTGTGGTCTGCACTATCTGGGAGCTGCAGCAACATGGTGGGGTGGGCATCTTGACAGCCACACTGACTTCTGGCTCTTGCTCACTGTGCAACCTCTGCGTAGCTGCCCTACTCCAAGGTGGACAAAGCCCATGCAGTTTCACATCTGCCTGGGACGCGCCCCATGGACCCTGCGGGGCCATCTCACTCTGCACTGCTGGAATCTCGCACGTCACAATGCGCCATTTTACATCCTCCGTGTTTATCACGGTCTAAAATTAGGTCATTTGTCTTTCTTACCGAACTAGCGTGCCAATTCTACGAAAACAAGGCTTGTCTGTCTTGCGCCCTGCTATTTCCCCAGCACTTAGAGTAATGAATGCCTCCAGTTACCTGAGCCTGCCCCCTGAAGTGAGGGCTGAGCTCACACAGCGTCTGGGCCACACCCCTCCCGCCCCCAGGCCAGTGTATCCTGCCCACCCCGAGGGTGAGGGCCTGGGAACAGCGCTCTGACTGGCACAGGCAGGAGGGAGGAGGGATGGCTACTTTGCACATGCCTTTGGCCACTGAGGTTGGTGGGGAATGGCTAAAGAGTCATCAAGCCACTTAAAAGTTGAAGTTTCCCTTCTGTGGGAAGGAAACCATGGCTCGCTCTGGATCTTGTGCAGGGTCTGTGACATACAGTATCTCGCTGGCTCCAGCCTACAGACACCTGGGCAGATTCTCAGTGCTGGCCATGTCTGTGCAGCAGCAGCAGCTAACCTGAGGTGTGGCCAATGCACCTGCAAGGGAAGGGCTCAGCTCACACTTCATGAACTCATCAGTGGTGTAGAGGCTCAGAAACTCAGGAAATGCCTGTGCTAAGCTTTGATGATGCTTTTCCTGGTCTGTGATGAAATGAGAAAAACAAGGACAGCGCCGTTTTCCATAAAGCTGATTTTATTTGACTCAAAAGGAAGTTCCTTTTCAGAACTGTCCAAATAAAAAATGCACTGCTCTGTGACTCCTAAAGTGGGCAACCACTCATGGCACCAAGAGGTTATAGAGATCAGCAGGAGCCAACACCATCATGGGCTTTGTCTGTAAATGTTTCTCTTGATGCTCACAAGGCCTACTGCATGGGGGCGCAACTGAGCCACCTCCTCATGGTGAGCTCCAGATTGGAGAGCAGCCGACAGGTGGTTCCCAAGTGCCCACTGTGTTCCCAGCCCCATGCTTCCAATCGCGTGGGGATAGGAGACTCGGCCGCTGAGGTATGAAGAAAACATGAATCCTCAACAGGTACACACAGCAGTACATGAGGCAGGGGAGGGGGACCGTGGAGGCACGCTCACGACGGCACCACGGCTCTCTCACGGACCTGCCTGTCGCCAGCTCCAGATGGAGTGAATCCCGAGGGCAGGGGCTGGGTCTCAAGTATCACAGCATTCCTGGTGCCTGAAGTGTTGCCAGGTACCAGGAGGTAATAAGGACAAAGGTCTAACTGTGGAGAGGCTGGGACAAGAGCAAGGGATGGCGATGCAGAGTGTGCACAGGAGAAGGCCCTTGTGGTGAGGTAAACGTGGGTGCGCGCTCAGCAGAAAGAGACCGTGAACTATCTGACAGGAAAAGCACATTCTAGAGGGCAGGGACACTGAGGTCAGAAACACATGCAGTGTTAGGCCGAAGGTGCACACTGGAAGCTGCTCAGGAAGCTGAGGTGGCAGAGGTAGGACACGGGGAAAAGCTGGGTTTTCACAAATTGAGGAGAAATTCCCAGGGAGGGGGGTTTAGTCTGGAGGGGATGGAGCTGGATGCCGAGGAGAGGAGGCAGTGGCCACAGCTCCCCAAGCTGTAGAGCAAAAAGTACAATCAGTCGCCTCCTACCGACAGCTGAGGCATGCGCCGTCCTGTGTAACATTCTAAGGGGCAGCGATAACTACTCCTATTCTACACATCAGCAAACACACTTCCAGGGAGACTACGTCTCTAAAGCTGCTGCTAGGGAACAGCAGGTGGGACTCTCCCAAAGTACTCGTGCTGCAGAGCTGAGGTCCCTCCCTGCTGGAGGGAAGGAGCCTGCCCGCCCTTGCTTGCAAACATGCATAATCCTGCGCTTCGGGTGGAACACGGTTCACCCTGTTATGGCACTCAGAGGCCAGCACACCAACGAGAGCGGCACTGAAGGAAGGCAGGCGTATCCAGCAGCCAGGGTCCAGGGGAAGCCCCTTCCAGCGTCAGAGCCCTGATTTGAAGTCTGTTTGCATTTTTATCTTGCTCTTCAGGCAGGGCAGGGGAGTAGGCAGAATTTTAGAAAAGCATAACATAGCACAGGGCTAGGGAGGTGCAGGCAGGTGCTGCTTTTAGAGTTTATCTTTAAGACACAGGGAGGCAGAGGTAGGTGTGTCGCAGCAGTTCACCTTTCCGCACAGGGCCCTCTGGGTCTAGCAGGAGGCAAGTCTAGAGACCTTAGCTCTGCCTTATCTTCTGGCTTTTTCATTTCAGCCCCAGATTCCATTTCTTCAAGTTCTCCTGCCCTTTCCTTTCTGCATATTTTGAGTTGTAACCTTCTTATGTCTAGGGTGTTTTTTTTCCTTTGGGGGTGTGTGTGTGCTAATATAATTCCAGTGCTTAGTTTTGAGGGTACTGTTTGTGAAAAAACATCTCAGAATAAGAGAAATTGTTTGTTTTCTCCTGAAGCTGTAGAAAAGCAGATGCTACTGCAGGTTAGGAAGCCAGTTCTGCTGAAGAACTCCAACCTTACTTGCTATTCCATTTGGACACTTGTGCAAAAGCATACAGCTCTGTTGTTATTACCAAGTGAGTACCTTAAGACACCTGGCCTTTAGAGATGGTTGTAGAATCCTTTAAAATGGAACTTTTAACTTCAGTAAGTTTGCTTTCATAATTGGCTGCCTCACTTGGTGATTTACTGTCTTCACAGCATAATTTAACATAGCATCCCTCACTTGAAGATACTGAAATTTTAAGGGGTTCCTGGCTGGCTGGAAGAGAGGCCTGGGGTTATGCTCTTCAAACAGAAGAGCAAAACAAAAGTACATGCTGACCAATTCCTTCCATACTGTGGTTTGAATCTTTACCTACTTAGACCAACAGCTGGTGCTGCAACTCGTTATCTGGGTAGCCAAATAATGGGGAGCGGAGGCTGGGACTCCTTGTGTGAATCTCCACTTGGGGATGGTGAGGAGCTGGCCAGTGCCAGCAGTCTGACTCTCCCCACTTGGAACACACTTACATAAG